GTAATAAACAAGTATAAAGAGGTATAACTCTAGAGATTTGGACAAACATTTAACTAGAAAAACAAATGTGATAAATGTTGCTGGACATTTACATGACATCCTTTCATCATTTTTAAAAATATTTATTAAGGTAGTGTGAATTCATATAAAGTAACAAAAGTAATGCATTAAATAAGTACCAAAAAATAGTAAACAAATTAAATATTTTTCGCTTAAGGTTCAATCAACAGTTCAAGAGATTTTTGGAAGACAGCCAAGCAAAGCTGTCAACCCAGATGAAGCTGTAGCTCTAGGAGCTGCCATCCAGGGGGGCGTTCTTGCTGGTGATGTGAAAGATGTGCTGTTGCTTGATGTGACCCCCCTGTTACTTGGTATTGAAACCCTTGGCGGCGTGTTCACTAAACTGATTGTAAGAAACACTACCATCCCAACAAAGAAGAGCCAGGTAGGATACCTTATTCGCTTCTTTCACATTGATTGCATGTGCAAATTCCAATTCAATCTGTGAGTTGGTCGTGCCCAGACTTCTTTAGGAGTGTGGCTAATTGTTCTTACATTTTTGAGATTGAAGTGTGTTCAGGGCTCTAAATTGGCCTGCCTGTAATTGGACCCAAAAAAAAACCATGTTAAAGTTGAATGTAGTTAAGGACGATTCTGTATCCAGTGGGCACCTTGGGAGAGCCTACATTTGCTAGCAGTTGATGTAATGTGTGTTCGTAAAAGTACAATGAATCTCACCAAATACAATAGTTAGAACAGCAATAAAATACAATAAATTTTCTAAACACATTACATCAACTGAGTGCTATGTAGGTTCTCCCGATGGGGGCCTTACTTGCATAGCAGCCATGTTGCCTTGAATAATAAATCCCCCCCCGAGCCTTGGTTAAACATGACAAAAGCTATTTTTTGGTTGGCAAATTAACATTACAAAATGTTACGTCCACCTATCGACTAAACTAAACTACAGGCAAAGCAAATACTGACTATTTGTTCATATGATCTCTTTCTTAGGTGTTCTCCACTGCCGCTGATGGCCAGACTCAGGTGGAGATCAAAGTCCACCAAGGCGAGAGAGAGATGGCTGCTGACAACAAGCTACTTGGACAGTTTCAACTGGTAAAAAAGCTTTTAGATTCTTTTCAGCAGACCGGRTTAAAATTATGGAGGTCAAGCAATTTAGSGGTGAAGTGCGGAAGYTAGACCAATAGACCTCTTTACTCCTATGGCTGCCATCTTGAGTGGCAGGGTTACGTTTTCAAGTAATTCCAAGTTTTGATGTTTCGCATATTGTTCCAACTACCAGCAAATACACGAGTACAGGCTT